TGCGAAACATACTTGCAATTTTTATAAAACAATTTGCCTGAAATTTTGCAGGAAATAAACTAGACTGTACGGGGCTGCATGTACTTTCAATGCAATGGGGCGCCATATAACTTCGCACGGAATTTAAAGGAATATTTTAGTTAAATTTTTCCACGTAAATGGATAAGCCGTGGCGGGCCAATGGCCTTCAAGGTCACCAGACCTTGTAGATTTTTTCATCTGGGGATATTACAAAGAGCTGGTGTACAAAAGCGAATACACCTCTATTCAACAATTATGGCTGAAACTGAAGCCAAATGAAGAATAGGGAAAAAAAAGAATCATTCCGAAGGCTCAATAAAAGTTTTATTAAATGCAGGCTATATATCGCCAATAATGGAGCTCATTTTGAACATTTACTTTAAATACTCGTAAGCGTGTCAAAAACAATAAATAATATTTTAACAGTACATATTTGTGTGTTTTATTGGACTCATTCCTGTACTTTACTACTTATAGTAATCTCGTTATTCTACTTACTAGCGTAGCGTAACGCTTAACAAAATAAACTTACTGAAGTTTTTAGTAGACTTTAAATTAAAGAAAAAATGTCGATTATTGGCACATGGACTATTTATGTACATTTTTCAACATGATGCCTCAGCACTAGCCAAATGAAATTTTCAGTGTTAATTCTTCATGGAAACCAATATTTTTAAGCTAGATTGTAGAAAAAAATCATATATGAAATATTTGAAGAAATATTTGTTTTAGAACCATAGAAAGTTAGTGCAAACATTAGATTTTGAAAAAAAATTATAATATAATTTTTTCATTTGCATTTTTATAAATCTAAGACTCTGATGTAAAGGTACAAGAGACCATAAGTTTATCTTGTTTGAAAAAAAATATTACAGTCGTAGACCTAATAGTTTGGCTGCAATTACGAAATTTAGGCTAAAATCGGGATTTGACAAAATTTTTACTAAATTCCAAATAACTTTTGAACCACTGAATATTGCATTACCTATAGGGGGTTAAATCGATAGGTATTGAGGTCCTCCACCCCCCTGCCACCGATGATCCACTCATGTTACACCGTGTATAGATTACAGATAGTAGTAATGAATTAAAGACATTTTTCCGAAATCTTAATTTGAAGTGATAAGACAAGAGTGCGAAGTTTGCGTGAAAAAAAATGGTTATAATGGCATGGTGGTGGGGAAATTGGTAAAACAAAATTATGATATTCTTATATTTAAAAAAACCAGCTGACTTTGAGCATGATCACACCTATATATTTATAGAAAATAGTTTCTTCGATTGAATTTAGTTTTATTTTTTCATTTGTTAGCTGGATGAAACTTAATATAGATACGTAATTTCAATTTCATTTTGTTAAAGTAATTAGGAATACTTATCTTTAGGTAGGCATAGGATTGTAGTTTCCATTTCAAACATTTTAATACTGATGGCAATATGGTGCCTCATACCATACTACAGATCATTGGTAGAGATTGCCACAAATTAATATGAAGTTGCAGCTTGCTTATTTCGGGAAATCTCTTATCTGTTGTATAGAAACCAAGTGTTGACTAGAGAAATTCGGTAGCAAATTATGGATTACGTTATTGGGGTCATTTTGTTGTTTATTTACAATATTATGAAATACTAGCATATAGTCTGCCAAATTCGTTTCTTGGTTCGATCATCGGTCCGGCAAATATTTCGTTTGTGGGCCCGTCTATTTGTTCGTTTGTTAGTTTGTCTTATTGGCTGACTAACTGGATGCTTCTATCCAGATTAGTGTCTTTATAGATTTTTGCGATATTTAAATGTACAAATAAATCATCATCAATTATCATAATTACGAAAATCACTAATTACAGGCGAACGAAGTCACGGGCACTACCATTATCAAATAAACTTACAGCCCACTTGCTCTCTTGTATAACCACCATTATTAATTACTTTAAATTAAGTAAGCATGGTTTTTTTTATAGGAGAGGGGGCAAACGAGTATGCGGCTCACCCGATGGTAAGTGACTACCGCCGCCCATGAACAACTGCAACACCAGGGAGGGAATTGCAGATGCGTTGCCGGCCTTTTAAAAAGGAGTAGGCTCTTTTCTTGAAGGTCCCTAAGTCGTATCGGTCCGGAAAAATCGCTGATGGTAATCGATTCTACAAGGAAGTCGTGCGAGGAAGAAAACATCTAAATCGCACAGTGGTGGACCGCCAATCATCCAGATGGTTTGGATGGTATCGGGAGTTCTGCCGCGATGTGCGTTCGTGAAATTTGGCGGCTGGGATTAATCCGAACAATTCCTCAGAGCACTCCCCATGGTAGATGCGAAATAAAATGCAAAGGGATGCAACATCTCTTCGCAGTGCCAATGAATCGAGCCGATCGGAAAGGGCTCGGTCGTCGACGATTCGAGCCGCTCTGCGCTGGATGCGGTCAAGTGGAAGGAGCTGGCACTGGGGAATCCCCTTAATTTATTTATATGCCCTTAAATGAATTTTATAATAAATTTTAAATATTTTAATTCAGTTTAGAAATAGCTTTGCTATCCTTTGATATCCGTTAAATATACAAGAATGTATTACAGGCGTATTGATATGCTTAGGTCTCATTATACGAGTCGAAAAAGTTGGCGGTCACCAGCAAAAGCAGATATATTTTTAGAAGTTAACTTTATCATGAAAAGGTATTTCGTTATATCTTTTTTTAAATATAAATACACTGTTTGAAATAAAAAAAAAAAGTTTTTATATTTTAATAACAAAAATTGAGTAACTCAATGCTAATGCAATTGTAACAGAAATTTGATTGAAAGAAAAATATTGATTAAACTTATAAAACAATTTATAAATAGAAGGGTTTTATTTAATACAATACCACAATATTATATTAGGTCCTTACATACGAAATTGGCGTTTTGTACGGGAGGAATATAAAGTCAATTTTTTTTTTGTAAAATATATTTAACTAAGCAAAATATGCACCGTTGTTGTTATCTCTGCACTTTTGCTATCTCATAAGTAATTCATTGATCCCTTTACTAAAAAAACCATGGGGGCGAGAATCAATAAACTCTTTGAAGGCGGTTTGGACTGCTGTATTGGAGTTGAATTTTTTTCCTCGTAAGAGATGTCCAAATTCCGGAAAAAATTGAAATCTGTTGGAGCAAGGTCCGGGGAGTACGGTGGATGTCGCAGGCATTCCAATTGTAGCTCATCTAACTTAGTGGTTGTTTGTTGTGCAGTGTGTGGTCTTGCGTTGTCGTGAAGCAGCAGTGGCCTAGAGCGATTGAACAATCTCGGTTGTTTAGCAGCTAGTTCTTCCTTCATGGTTTGCAGTTGCTGACAATAGATATCTGCCGTAATCGTTTGGATAGATTTTAGAAAGCTGTACTGAATGACAACGGCGCTAGTCCACCAAACACTCACAAGTAACTTTTTCTGAGTCAATTTTCGTTTAGGGCAGGATTTGGCTGGGTCTCCAGGGTACCGCCATTGCGTCGAGCGCTTCCGATTATCATATAGTATCCACTTGTCATCACAAATAATGATTCGATTTTAAATCCCTTCATTATTGTGTCGGTTGAGCAAAGAGCACAGCAGTCGGCGCGTGTTTGCAAGTTCGGTTCACTCAATTCATGAGGTACCAATCGTTCAAGTTTTTTGTAACTACCCGATTTACTTCAACTGTATTAATACAGTTTTATCACTTACCCCGAAGCCTGCAGCTATCTCTGAAGTGCTTTGTGATGGATCCGCTTCCACAATAGCCTTTAATTCTTCATTTTCTACTTTGGTCTCCGGCCGTCCACGGGGTTGGTTCTGAAAGTCAAAATTTCCAGAACGAAAACGTTGAAACCAAAAACGTACCATTCTTTCATTTGCGACATCAGCGCCGTACACATCATTAATCCTTCAAGCTGTTTCTGCAGCACTGATGCCACGGTAGAACTCGTACTCGTAAATATACCGATATTTCTTGTTTTCCATTGTGTGGTAATAAGCGACGCCAAAGAAAAAATAATGAGGAAAAACAAATCCTCCGTGCTCCAGTCTAGTGTAAGCAATTCCGAATAATCTGAGTGCTAATTTAAAGTCCAGAGGTGGCCCGCACTTCACCAATGGTGGCCGACACGTATCATACATATAAACCTTTGATATATATATATATATATATATATATATATATATATATATATATATATATATAATACATATATAATATGATAAAAACTGCATCAACATCCGAGCGGGAATCGACCTTGTTTTATACTATGTAGAGATAAAAAAACATGCACCAAATAGTCCACCCATAGCCACCTATAAATTGAAAGGATATTATTTAATACATACCCTTTAAAAACCTTCATGAATATTTTAAAAGGTGCAGTATTTTGCATAAATCATCAAAGGTGTGTTTGATAAACAATAATACCTAGTAATTCAAATGTATGAAACTAAAATATTGCATTAAAATAATAGACAATGAAGTTCTACACTTAAGCAGGTGTAATAATTTCCTATATTTACTCAAATACTTCACACAGAATAGAATATTTAAATGCATTGAATTATAAAGCTAATTTAGAAGGTATTTTCAGTGTATATAAGGGTACAATTGTGTTTAAAGCTGCAGTAATATTAGGTAAAATGTTGTATAGCAAACATGATTATAAAAAATTATAACACGTCTGCTTTAATCAAATAATTACTTTAATGAATATAACAGTTAAAACTAAATAATAAGTGCAATTACAATTTTTATTAAAAAGAACAAACATTACTTATACAATTAAGAAACCCATAAATTTTAAATTTAGATTTAGTTAGCTGTTAAGTGTGTAGTTGTTGTTTCTTAATTATTTCAAGGGATCCCTAAAGTTTCATCCGCTTCATTATAGGTCGAAAATTTCATGAAACAAAAGTTTTTTTTTAATCAAGATTAATTTAGCATAGTTTTAAAAAAGGTATCAAATTGGGCTTAGTTTACGAATAAAATGAAATACCTATCTAATTTCCATCCTGAATTTGTGCAACCACTTTTGGTGGGTTTCAAAATGTTAGATAAATTTAATTTAACCTTTTTTGATGACAATGTGTCCTTTCTAAAGAGATATTGGAAGTTTTTATACTTAGTTCCTTTTACGGTGGCCTACATTACTTGCATGTCGATATACATGATTAATATATTCAGTGAGGAAATCGACGTCACCGAATTTGCTTACATGGTTCCTGTGTATATTAGTTTTGTTACGGGTATGATTTATTTAACTTTTGTCATATATTTCAATATTAAACAGTTATTATAATGAATACTTAGTTTTTTTTCCAGCTGTAGTTAAAATAATCATAATATTATTAAAAAGAAAAGATATTTCCACTTTAGTGAACGACTTAGGCAAAAGCTGGAGAACATTCAATTTAAATAGTAAGCAAATCGAGCGGAAGGAACAATTAATGAAGAAGCTTAACTTATTTCTGAAAAGTAAGTCGATTAAGACTTATAAATAATGCTGTACAGTTTTAACACAAGTTTCCTATTGAATTAAAATTATATCACGTTGATCATAAACAAATGTAGGTTAAGCCTTTTACAATTAGTTAAACCTAGGTGCAGCTAATTGCGGTAGTTTAAAATTATTATTATATCGTATTCGATTTATCCATGTTTGAAAATCTCTGGTAGGGTCAGATTGTTATTCAAATGGCTATGGCATCTATTAAATTTGTCAAAATTACGAAAGCACATAATATTATTTAATAGTCCATCTGATGCTAAGTAGCTACTGACGCACATGGACATCCACAATCAATGATAAACAAAGAAGAACAGTTGCTTCGTCACCTCTGAGGACTAATTGCTTACCAGTCCAGGTCTAAGAGTTTTATATCTGATATAAATACCATCGTATTATGTCTCATCTTTCTAGATTCTCTACTACATTCTCTATCTAGGATTCCGTCTTAATAGGTACCATCCACTTTCTCCTCCTTCTTTTTTATTTTTACCGCTAAGAATGACTGCACACACTGCTGTGTTCGCGTCAAATGAGTATAAAGAACCAGTATATTACTGGACGTAAAGCATCCCGTCTGAGTCCGCAGAAGTGACAACGCATCTGTAGCCTCCGTTATGCAAAGTTTCTTTCCATAGGCTGTAGAAGCCGCTTTCCATGATGTGGACTGTAGATTCGTTTGTCACTTTAGCTTGATTGAAAAATAATTAAAATTATGACCTGACAGATTGTTTTCCATGTACAGTTTTTATTTTGACCCTAACACTGTAACCAACAAAGGCCTCCATCTAATATTAGACAGCATAGTATGGAACATTGTCAAAAATCAATTATGTCTATACTAGGTAAGACACATCATTTTATTTTATAGAGCGATGTTAGCGAAGTAACTTTTTTTAAAAGCTTTTAAATATATCTTGTGTGTATATTATATATTCTGGAGCTTTACTTTACAGTGTTAAGAATACCTCAATTATTTTTTTACGTGGTAGAGCCATGCTGCAGCTATATTAATAGTATAGATGTAGCACGAAGGGGTCGGCTCGACCGGTGGAAGGACCACGCTCTCACAGAATACCAGCGTAAAATGGCAGCTTAATGCTGTTGTTTCGTATGGTGAGTGTAGAGAACCGGAGACCATTTTTACTGGAAAAGAGGCATTTCATCTTAGTCCTCACAAATGACAACACATCTGCATTTGATTCGTAATCGAGGATAAGTGTAGATATCTATGGGCCACAGCAACCACCTGATGCAGGTGGACGAAAAATGGATAAAAAAAACTTAACCTTAGATCAACTCAAATAAACAAAATAAATAAATGTAAGACATACAGATATACGGTCAATAATTTTAAAAATCGTTGTAATGGCTCTCACTTCATTGCAAAAATCCTCTAACATAAATATTTCGAAAAGCCTATACCCTATTTACCGATACAGCCTATCAAAAGTCCTCTGATGAACATAGGCCTCCCCATAGATTGCCACATAGGGACGCTTGCAACGGTTGTCAACCGTAGTTTTTTATTTTATAGTTGTTATTAGGAAGCTCTGTTGCCCATCTCCTGGTTTGCTTTCTTCTGTCGTCTCTTATGAGACTCGCGGTAGTGGATATTATAACACCGCCATCACACGGTCTTTACCCTATTTGCTGCATTTTTATGTTTATTGACCAGTTCTTGCTAACATGGTTTTAAAACACTGAGATTATATTATGTACTACCATTTTTGATATACTTCCATTCTTTATACCATTTATAATAATTAAATGTTTGTTTCAGTATTTTACTACGTTAATGTTGGAGCGGCTTCATTACATTTGATTACACCTTTAGTAAGCGTTTTGGTTCGTAAATTTGTGTTAAAGCAGGACTGCAAAATGGTACTTCCGTTTCAAAGTGTATATCCTTTTGATACTTCTGAAGACTGGGTCAAATATCTTGTAACATACGCATTTCAAACGTTCATAGGTAAGTATGTTTTAGTATTTCTGTGTTTTAGCTTTTCATAACTACATACTGAATATATAGTTATTAGATATTTTGAAGAATAAAAAAACTGGCCAAGTGCATGTCAGGCCACGCACAATGTAGTGGTAGTGTTCCGTATTTGCACCTCACAATACATGGGCTTCCTTGATAATGAGCATAATAAGTAAATTCGCGGTTTGACCGCTATTGCGACTAACAATGGGCTTAAATAGGAAGATCGTAACTAAAGGACTTATTATCAAATTAATCTTTTTTTTTATAGGATCGAGTGACAAACGAGCACACAGTCCACCTGATGGTAAGTGGTTGCTGTGGCCCATAGACATCTACATTTATCTTCGTTTGCGAATCAAAACGCAGATGCGTTGTCACTGGTGAGGACTAAGATGGAATGCCTCTTTTAGTGACATCCTAAATAAAATTATTGTTACTAAATTTTGCCCAAATAGTACAATAATAATTTTTGTTGGTAGAAGAGGCAGTGTCAACAACAAACAGTTATTAAGATATATTGAACAACTTAATAACTTAAATGTACACAAAATTGTCTTGTTCACACTGCCTTATACACAGGGATTGCCACAAGAAAATAATTTAAGAAGAATTTAAATATACAAATGCATAATTTAATATGTAATAATAATTTAAATTTGACATATAATTCTAATGATAATAATCATAAATTTCATGTAATTGACATAAATAATTTAATAAAAAGTTTTGGATAAAAGATAGGTATTACCTATCCAAATATAATTTAAGACTGATAGCAAATGTGCTATCTTATTATTTACTTTTTAACTCAGCCAAGTTTTTGGCTACCAAGACTGCTTTTATTGAGCATAATCATTTGACATTTAATTTGGAATCAGTTTCAACTAATTTAAATTAGTGAATGTGACAATTGAGGCAATCTCTAGCAATAATAAGAGTTTAATTAATTTTGAATACAGCCCACAAATAAGTAATAAATATTTTTTACACCTGGTGCATCAAAATATACAAGGCATGTTGGGCAAAGAATTGGAAGTTGAATTGTTTTTAAATAGTAACAATATACACATCCTTTGTATTACTGAACATTGGCTAAAAGATTATAATTTCATGTTTAATTTCAGAAATCACCAGGTGGTTAGTTCCTTCAATAGAGAAAAAAGTTTACGTGGTGGCTCCTTAATATTAGCAGATAAATCATTATTATATAAAGAACGTAAGGATATTGTGAGCCTCTCTGTTGAACGAACTGTAGAAATGGCTTGTGTCGAGCTCGAGCACCTCATTGTTGTAGGTGTTTACAGACTCCCAAGTGCTACTTATGACCATTATGAAAGGATTGTGGAAGAAGTTTTACTCAAACTTAGTAAACAGAACAAGTCTGTTGTAATGTGTGGAGACTTTAATATCAATCTCCTTGAAACTTCTTCCATTAGTATTAAGTTTCGCTCATTGTTTAAATCGTATAATCTTGGAAATTTATTCTTAGAACCAACACGTATTGCTGGGCCTAGTGCGACCTGTATAGATAACATTTTTACAGATGTTAAGCCCTTGCATAAATCAATTATTCAAAATTTAAGTTCAGATCACCGTGGACAGTTAGTATCAACACAAAAAAAAAACAGAAAAATAAGAAAGTTGTGTTTGTTCCAATAAATAAACATCGCTTGGAGAGGCTTAGAAGTAATATAATAAAAAGTCTTCCATCACTTTCGTTTAAAACCAGTGCTAATTATTTGTATGCTACATTATTTGAAATTATAAGTTGTGAATTTTGTATAATATTTACTCTAAAACTTTCTCTTTTAACAGTCGCAAATCATTTAATGAATGGGCAACAGTAGGAATTTATAAAAGTAGGCGAAGGTTATACGAGCTTTATGATGAAAGATCATATAATAGTAGTATTATATTTAGAGATTATGTAAAAAAATATTCTAAAATATTTAAAAAAGTGTGCTCCACTGCTAAGGCTTTACATTTAAGCAACAAAATTAAAACTGCATCCGACAAAATTAAAATGACCTGGAGAATAATAAACAGTGAAACGGGCAAGGTCAAACCGCGCATCTCGGATTTTCAATTGAATATTAATAATAATTTAACGCGAACTGATCAAGAAGTTGCTATGGCTTTTGAGATACATTTTACTGATGTTCCTTTTTTGACAACAAAATCATTAAATTCTTCTCCTACTGTCGCCGAATCATTGCTTAAACAAAATGTAAAGGCTTGTTCAAATACTTTTAAATTCCATAGGGTACTGCCAAAAGATATCGTTAAATATTTTAAAACTATTGATGTTACGAAAACGGCAGACTTATGAGGGATTTCCGTTAAAGTTATTTTATCTATAATAGATACATTAGCAACTTATCTAGCCACTATATTTAATATAAGCGTCGAATCTGGTGTGTTTCCTGATTTATTGAAACATAGTAAAGTCATACCTATATTTAAATCTGGTAGTACATTAGACCCCGCCAATTTTAGACCAATTTCTGTACTGATGTTAAGTTTCTTTAATATTAATAAATTGCTACATAAAAATCAATTCGGTTTTACAAGAGGTCGCTCGACAACTGACGCTGGAGTTGAGCTTATTAAACACATTTTTTGTACATGGGAGGATTCAGAGGATGCTTTGGGTATATTTTGTGACCTTTCCAAGGCCTTCGACTGTGTTCACCATGAGACATTAATCAGGAAGCTACAGTACTATGGTGTCAAGAACACAGCGCTTAAACTTATTATTTTATATTTAAGTAATAGAAAACAGAAGGTTATTATCAATGGTAAAAGTTCTTCCGGGTCACCTGTACTAATGGGTGTTCCCCAGGGCTCGATTCTCGGCCCATTCCTGTTTCTGGTGTATATTAATGACTTACCTCACCTTGTAGGGGATAGTTATGATATAGTATTATTTGCTGATGATACTTCCTTGATTTTTAAACTTAAACGTCAATCATTTAAATGTGACGAAGTGAATAATGCTATATCAAAATTAGTGCATTGGTTTAACGTTAATAATCTGCATTTGAACGGAAATGAAACTAATTGTGTTAAATTTACAACAACGAATGTTAAAAATCTGAATACCAATGTGTTTTTAAATGGGGAGGAATTGAGCCCTGTTGTATCCACTGTTTTTCTTGGCATCACTCTTGACGCAAAGCTCCAGTGGGGCCCCCATATATCCAAATTAGCAAGCAGACTAAGTTCTGTAGCCTATGCTGTAAAAAAGATTAGAGGTCTCACTAGTGTCGAGACAGCTAGATTAGTTTATTTTAGTTATTTTCATAGCATAACGTCTTTTGGGATTTTGCTATAGAGAAATGCGGCTGATTCAGAAACTATTTTTGTTTTACAGAAGAGGGCCATTAGAGCTATTTACAATTTAAAACCGAGAGAGTCTCTTAGAGATAAATTTAAAGAAATTAATATATTAACTTTGGCCTCTCAGTATATTTACGAAAATTTAATGTATGTTCACAAAAACAAAGATAGTTTTAGTAAAAGAAGTGATATACATTCTGTAAACACTAGGAACAAACACAAGCTAGTGATACCAGTTTCTCGACTCCACAGAGTCAGTAATTTATTCTTGGGGCAATGTATACGCTATTACATAAAGGTCCCGGAAAGTGTACAGGTTCTCTCTATTACCAAGTTTATATGTTTTACTAAGCTGAAACTGTATAAAAAGGGTTATTATAGTATAAATGAATACATGGTTGATAATAACCCCTGGAAATGAGGTGGTCGCTACCAAGCAGTTTCTAAAATAAATTTTGTAAATAGTTCGTAATCATTTATATTGTTAAATTTATTTTTAAAAAAAAGTCCCGCTGGGTTTCTTGCTGGTTCTTCCCAGGACAGAGGGTTTTTTTCGAACCAGTGGTAAAGTAAAAAATGACTCAATAAGAATTACACATGTAATATATATTGAATAAAAAATATTCTATTCTATTCTCTTTTCCAGTAAAACGGGTCTTCGGTTCTCTACACTCACCATACGCAACACAGCAGTGTTAAACTACTATTTGACGCTGGTATTCTGTGAATATTTCTTATAGGGAATGGTATTCAAAAAATATTAATAAAACTTTTCGATTTTGATAATAATACCTTAGCTATCCCGCAAATTAAAACGTAAAAGTAATAGTAGTAATGCTCGTAAATCGTTTTCTTTTTTAACAGTTTACAATAACATTTCAAAGTTGCTAATGCAGCTAGTTTTAGGTCATTTTCTATGGAATTGTAACGAAATTGTTACTAATCCAAGTGCATTTTACAAGTTGGTTGACTATTACTCCTTAACTCCTTAATTCTACTCAGCTGTGATAGTTTTTCTTTTAACTTCATAATACATACTACTATCGTGTATACTTTTCACGTTTCTAAAAGCGGCGCTTTAGTTGATACAGGAGGAGGGGGGCACATGACTCTAATGAAAAATACTACTTTAAGGCTAAATATTCCGCAAACGAACCCCTGAATCGAAAAGATGTCAACGATACCCCACATGATGGAATAGACAGTTAAAAAGAAAATATTACTCAATTTACTTGTATGGGAAGTACCCAAAATAAAAATGTTTTTTTAAGATTTTATATCACAGTTTTCTAGGCGTGATCAATATCTATAACTATACTAAATTACAGATTTGTAGCACTTAGGGTGTCTGAGCAATACCGGGGACGACTAGACATGGCGAAACTTAAAGGGTGCCTTGTTATGTAACTACGTAACCCTAAAAACGAAAAGATAGTTTGTTTTTTCAGTGTGGATTTATGCATTATAATTGTAATTTATTATTTTTCTGTTTTTTGTCTTTAAAATACGTTACCCCTACACTAGGAAATTTGGTAAATGACAGGCATTGTACACATCCTGGAATTTTGCTGCAAATAAATACAATTTTTACAAATTGATCTATGAATAAATTCCTAACTCTATGAAACGAGAAACTTTAACATAACTTGAAAAATCATCCCATACTCACCATGCAAGCGTGAGTACCGAGCCTTCGTACTGTTTCAGAATTTCATCACAATCGATGGGATTTGGCTTGCAGTTTTCGAATGAATAATTATGGCCTACAGACCAAATTGCGAAGAATAGTCAACAGCGTAGGACAGTATTATATTTACCAAGTGTATGCGCAAACATAGGTATGTGGTCTGTTTCCTCGCTCTCATAATCTGATGGAACGGTAAACCACGATTTACGACCACTAGACCACCTATGCAGTCACTTTTTAATTAATATACAGGCTGTGTTCGCTTGCTAGAGCCTCGTTTATTAACTACCAGGATGCACCACGTACAGTTAAGATTGGCATCTGTAGTCATTACATCTTCCTTGCAACATATATATTGAACCTCTTCTTTATCACCCCGTGAAAGTTTAGAGCTGGATTCCGCGCATATTGTTGGGAAAATTTGCCGTAATGGTCATAGATAGCAGACGCATTGACGATCTTAGTACCAGGCCAGATTAATGCTGCTGCCCGTGGCTAGTTAGTATCGGAACAATCGGAAGTGTTAAGATTTTATGATAATTCCTACAGACGTCTTCTAAGAAACATCTCACGTAAGAAAATAAGGTGGCATTGTGTTATTCAGACACCACACGGCAATTATACAGGGTGGGGCAGCATAACTTCCTTTTTTTAAAACCTAATAAAACACATTGTATGAATCGGAAAAATTTTATTTGGTTTTTACAATGTAAGTACATACTTAAAGTTTTGTTTTATTTAGCTTTGAAGATCAAATCAGGTAGATGACGTCCCTTATTCTCTATACATTGAGTATACCGATTTCTGGTGTTTGTCATAACTCTTTGAAGCAGAGCAGGCGTTATGTTGGCAATTTCTTCCTGGATGTTGTTCTTTAAATCTTGTAGGGTCCTTGGACGGTTCACATAAACACGGGATTTCAAAAAACCCCATATAAAAAAGTCACAAGGGGACAAATCGGGAGATCGGGCCGGCCACTGCAAATCGCCCCTGATTGAGATAAGGCGTTCTGGGAAGTGTTCTCTCAAAACAGCCATCGATGCTCTTGCAGTGTGTGCCGTTGCACCGTCTTGTTGGAACCAAATGTCTCCCAAGTCCAACGCATCCAGCCGGGGTAAAAAGAATTCCTGTAACATGTTTACATACCGGCCCGAATTCACTGTTACTGTGACTTCATTTTCCTCAAAGAACCAGGGACCAATAATTGCAGCTGAGGAAATTGCACACCACACTGTGACCTTAGGTGAATGCAAAGGCCTTTCATGCAATTCTCGAGGATTGGTGTCAGTCCAGTAGCGCATGTTTTGTTTGTTCACGGATCCACACAAGTGAAAATGTGCTTCATCACTAAAAAAAACAATAGCGTCCTCAGGAACGACATCCAGAAGAATCTCACATGCGTTCCTGCGAGAATCGTAGTCACGTTTTGACAGTTCCTGTACAGTCGCCATCTTGTATGGATGGAAATGTAAGTCTTCATGGAGAATTCTCCGCACAGAACGACTGGAAAGTCCAAGGGCAGATGCATGTTTGCGCGCAGAACGCCGTGGTGATCGCAACATTGAAGCTCTGACTGCCTCAATGTTCTCAGGTGATCTAATGGGCCGAGGGACTCCAGTTCTTCGTTTTGTCACACTTGCAGTTTGTCTAAACGTAGTGACCCACATAACAATTGATTTTCGGTCTGGAACAGGGGCCAACGGGGCTAAATTAAAGCGATTTCGAAAGGCGCGCTGAGTTGCAATCACAGAACATCCGCGCGAAAAGTAAGCCTCAACAGCAAACGCACGCTCCTCACTGTTCCAACGCATTATGGCGACTGAGCTGTCTCGACTAAACTTTATAGCCCCCCCTCTCGAACGAGACCACTAGCGCTCCACTACGATGTCACCTGACCGAATGGCGCGCATTACAAATAAGGAAGTTATGCTGCCCCACCCTGTATAATACAATTTTTATTTACATAAATAATACTTAATTTAAAACAAATAGCTACAAGCTTTTACAGTAACGATCTTATGATAGGTTGTATAATTAGTAATTATTTATTTTCAGCGTTCCGTCTAATTTACGTATACCTGGCCTCACAATATTTGATGATAAATTTATGTGCATTTCTTGCCATTAATTTTGCACTATTATCCGAAGACTTGATTAATGTTACCCCGTACTTTAATAAAGTGAAACTTCTGAGTCAATATTCATTCCATGAACAACTTGAAAGAGAAAGCACAAACATTACAATACAGGAATTCGTAAAACGTCACCAAAAACTGATAAGGTATGAGATGTGTATTTAGTACTTCGTTATTTATTTTTTCTAAAATTATTTAACTTAACTAATATTTTTTAATTTTACTAATATTTATTTCAAAAAAATTTAAATCATAAAAGAACTAGCGAACCTCACAGTAGTCGCATATGATGTGTATATATTCAGAAATGTCAGCATCTGACTTTGGTACTAAGCAATATTAACATTACGTGCACATAACGTAACATTAAAAAACTTTTTTTTTAAATCAAAATTAAAAATATCAATTGAGTAGCGACTGGAATTAACTTCAAAATTTATAAAAGCTAAGTACTGAATTACTTAGAATAATATATTAGAATAGATTATTAGATAGATAGATATATTAGAATAATAAATTAGGTGAACACGTTTTCTAAAAATTACCTAATGAAATTGTATTTCATATGTGTGATTTTTTAACAAAGAGATTCACCCACACATAAGCTTAATGATTTTACGTTTCATGATATTAATTCATTTACATAAATAGGTATGTACTCTCACGGAGGTCATTTTGAATAAACTTTAGTGTCATAAGAATCTATGTTTTGTTAAGTTCATTTTGGTATATAAATGGTTACATAATGAATAAACTTGTTTCAATTATTTTATATTAAACATGTGACAAAATTTATGACCTGACTAGATATATATACATTAATATTTCATTACTATTAAATTAACACTGGGAATATAATATAAAGGGACGAAAGTGAACACTTCTTGGCACGATCCAGATAAGATTTTAAGAAAATGTTTTTATAGTGTACCTAATTAAACGGCAGCTGAATGATAAAAAAGAGGTCAATTATAATATAAAAAAGTTTTATGACCATAGAACTGTCAAATATACATATTATGTATCGACATAATATATTGAATAGAAAAATCCTTCTTGATTATCGAGTGAAACTCCAACACGACTGATTTTAATGATTTCATTTATTTTTATTGACGATTAATTTCACATTCGCAGATTATCACATCAGTTGGATGATATTTTTAATCGAATTGTTTTCGTTATCTTACTTTTAGTCACAATTGTTGTCTGCTTCTTCGGCTTCGCAATAACCGTGAGTAACCAACCCTCTTGTATCTTGAGGGTTCTTCATTTGATTATTTTAATTTCTTTAGGCAATTAAAAAACCCCTTTAAATTATATGACACGGTCAATTATTTTTGGTTGAGGTTTTATACGAAAAAAAATTAAGGTATTTTTTATTTCATTATTTTAGCATCTATGGAAAATGTAATGAATAATTTTGTGTAGACCACAAATTCCTAACCATCATCAGTCTTCTGAAGTTCACTACTGGATATAACTTTCCAAGACTGCGCAATTTGGAATGCATTTTCCGTACCTTTACCTAGCTAGTTACTCATACATTACAATCAACATTGAATTCCTAGCCTTAGGTACGGCTACTACTATTTTTATATAATATAAAATGTTACAATATTATAATTACCAGTAACATCACCTACCTGGGTCTACCCATTGTACGGAGAATTTGCCTTAATTGATTAACAATCCCTTCCCGTTATTAGTCAGGGTATTTGATGCCTATCGCGACATAATAAGATCTTTCTAGCATTTCCCATGTTTAATCCAGTTATTTCACATTTGTTATCAAATTTTATATTAACATTTTAGTTCTTATATTTACGTCTTTATTGTAACATCTAGTTTTAACCTAAGACTTATTTTAAGCTACTTTTTGTAAGAAGTCTGAATAAGTTTCCAATAAGGCTCAATAATTTCACCAAATAACTTGATAACTTTTTGCTTTTAGATATCACATGGAGTTATAGAGAAACTAAATGATTTTATCAGCGTTTTAGGTCTGTTGTTTCCAACGTACATATTGTGTTACTATAGTGAATTATTAACATCTGAGGTATGTATAAGCTCAATACCTTTTATCTTTGAATTATGAATTTTGTTGATAGTTATTAATTGTTTTACTGATGTTATTATTCCATAACTAAAATTAAACTGCACTGCTTTGAACTTCTTGCAACCTACTACAACTACTATTACTGTGGTGAATCTGTCGCAATTTTGATGCTACCACCAAACTCGAAAAAACCAATGTTTATTCTCGTAATGAACATAACTTGTATGAACGTTCTGATATTCCCCAATGCTCATGCTCAGGACTACACACCTCACACTGCTAATCTTCCCTATAGATTGCCTCATAAGGCTGCCATAACTGCTACGCTTGGCAGGCGGGTTGGCGACAGTAGCTTCCCTTTTTGTTGTCATTATGAAAATACTGGTATCCATTTCCTATTTCATTTCCCTTTGTAGCCTTTCATGACATCCACGGGACCACTGACCTGAGCTCACACTATTTTAATATTAATTTATTAATTTTTAATAAAGAATAATCGTCTCATTTAAAACTGAATGCGGCTTTTTTGCGTCACATTTACCATATTGAGTATCATGAAGTCTAAATCGCTTTCGCGCTTTATCTTTTTTTTTATAGGATAGGGTGACAAATGAGCACACAGTCCACCTGATGGTAAGTGGTTGCTATGGCCTATAGACATCTACATTTATCCTCGTTTCCGAATCAAAATGCAGATGCGTTGTCACCCGCGAGGACTAAGATAGAATGCCTCTTTTCCAGCAAAAAGGGTCTCCGGTTCTCTACACTCACCATACGAAACACAGCAGCATGAAGCTGCTATTTGACGCTAGTATTCTGTGAGAGCGTGGTCCTTCCCCGGTCGAGCCGACCCATTCGTGCTACAACAATACTTCTAATATAGCTGCAGCATGGCTCTACCACGTAGCAATATTTTGTGTTTTAGTAGACTTTCGTGTTTTTTTTTTCCATGACAAAAGAGATAAAATCTACCAAAAGAGGGAGGCGCGTGCAGATTCATTTTCTATCTTCTCAATCTCTACTAATTCGCCTGCCAAGGAGGGTGATTAAGGTCAATCTTCCATTGAGAGAGGTCCCTGTCTTGTAGTTACCGTTTACTGGCCGAAAAGAGGATAAAAGTACTTATACAGTTCATCTGATGGTAAGTGGATGCTCTGGCTCCTGGACGCCTCCTCTTTGCTTTGTACGTATACGCTACGGACATTCGACGATATACGCTTAAGTTTCCTTACTTTAACGTTACGTTAACGATACGATTACGTTACTTTTACGTTACGCTTACGTTACGTTTGCGTTATTTTTACTTTACCATTATGTTAAGCATCCCCCACACACAAGCGGCTTGCGGTGGCGGCTAACCGCGAGCCGCGGCTTCAGCCGCTGCAACAACACACCACCGCGGTCGCAGCGGCGGCCTGAAGCGCCATTCGCTAAAGTGTCTGTGCTACGATTGGACGTCAGCAACATGACTAACCGTGACGAAGTCTTATTATATTCAGCAATATTATCATATCTTTTATTTATTAATTATAAACTTAAATTTAGCTATCTAAAATCTATCCCTTTTCAGAGTTTGCGTATAGCTGATGCGGCGTACGAAAATTTGTGGCTGGATGGGAACGTTTCTTATCAAAAAACTATTCTAATGATTATAAGACGGTTATTATAGCCAATTACGATTATGATTTTTTTATATTATTATGTAATTTGTTGTAACAAGTTAAATTTATTTTTCCAGTTCACAAAAACCTTGTTGCCTTACATCAATTAAATACGTGCCCATTAATTTAAATACTTTTACCAAGGTAATTTTAATATAAGGTAAAAAGTAAGCAAAAAATAACTAAAGACTTCTTCTTTTAAAATTGAGTTTTAAGCAGCAGAAAAGAGTCGACTGTGGTGTCCCACTGCATGATGGAAGAATTCACATGTTGTCTAAATATTTTAAAATTTATTAGATATGTAGATGTTTTCCTTTACCGTCTAAAATGACATTAAGAACTAAAATAAATTATGCACTTTAAATCGCAATTGATAATTGTCTATGCTATCTTTGGTGATCGAACTCAGTTTGCAAACGACCTACATATGAAATTTTAGGGCGAGCTTACCCACTAACCTATCACAGCACAAATTGAATGCGATGCGACATAGGTTGAGCTTTACTCTCGACTTGACATGGTCACGCTACTCGCTCTCATAAAATTTGGTATATTATTTTTAAACCACACTTATACGTAAAGAAAGGCATATATATATAAGATACACAACTAAATAAAACTGAAGCTTTTATTTAAGTTTTGCACTACGTAATATTATGAAAAAATTCCAATATTTTATTTTATACTATGTTTCCAAAATAACTCGAGGACGATTTATTTATAGGATCAGGGTTACACACGAGCACACAGTTCTCCTGATGGTAAGTGGCTGCTGTGGCCCATAAACATCTATGCCTATCCACGATTTCAAGTCAGAATGCAGATGCGTTCTCACCCGTGAGGACTAAGATGGAATGCCTCGTTTCCAGTAAAAAGGATCTTGGACGAAACGACTAAATTATGTTTCGCTATTTTTAGAATCATGCAATATCGATTCCTTTGTAATATCACTAATGTCCAACTTCCTGTTTTGAATTAAAATAAAATCGCTATTGCTAAAGCCGGTAATTTTATATTCGAACAAATAATTTCTCAAATTGAAAATCAGTGTTGCTAGTGGAACACGGAATACATTTTAAGTATTATTGAGGGTTTTTAATCAGTTACTTACATCTGTTCGTATAAATTTGGTTTAAAGAAAATATTTTTGTACTATTTAATACAAATTGCCTATGCTTTACTATTAAAATTATATATCAATATCGAAATATTTGCAAATAAGGAAAGATAATAACAAGGTATTTTTCGTCTTTTAGTAAATTAAATGAAAATTATGTATACATATAGAAGTTGTAAGATAAAATTTAGTATTCTTAGGGTCAATCCTACCATATCAGTTTAAACTTAAAAAGTATAATATCATCTAAAACAAAATTTCATCCAAATTGTTGATGCCGTTTCCGTGAAACCAATAACATACTAGTATATACAATTATGTATATATAATTTTGTACAAAACTTGCCCGCTTAAAGTATAAAGATTTTATCTGTATTTGTCATTCGGTACTAATTTTTCTAAAATTTTATGCATTACAGGTTTTGAGTACGACGTGGTCATACTTTTCTTTAGCTACATCGATGTACTCGGAAAAGGAATAAGTACCAACAAGATT